TTACGAACAAAGCGATCTTACTAACTCTCCTTCAAGGGTATACTAAACCTGAAAGTGCAACTCATTATGGAGCTGTAAGACTACCTTTTGTTGTATTTGCTCTTGCTATATGTATCCATTCCTAATTATTCTTGATTTCCTTCAGATGTTAAGAGATGCCTGCAGGCATGAAGCTCTTGCAAAGCTAGTATTGGGTTCCCCTGAGTTTTATCAGCTCTTTAATCATGTTCAGGGCACAGCTTTTGACGTAAGCTCCGATGCATTTGCGACCCTCAAAGATTTATTGACAAGACATAAGCCGTATATAGCAGAGTTTCTTGCACAGAACTATGACGAATTTTTCTGTCACTATGCAAACATGATCAACTCTGACAATTACGTGACTAAGCGCCAAGCTCTTAAGGTATCTTATGTTAACACACTTGTCAATCGATTACCTTGGTGTTATATTACACTTTTTAATTTATTTTATACACGATTGTTTTGGAAACCATTGTTTTTAGCTGCTTGGTGAATTACTTTTGGATAGACACAATTTCTCTGTGATGACAAGGTACATAGCGGATGCGGAGAACTTGAAAGTGATTATGAATATGCTGAAAAGCAGAGAAAAACAAATTGCTTTTGAAGCTTTCCATTGTTTTAAGGCGAGTTACAATCTATTGTCGCTTATATGACAGTTTGTTCGTGCAATTAAATCCCATACTTTTATTTTAATTTGGTTAAATATTTGCTCATATTTACCGAAAGACGTCTTTAGTTGTATCTATTTTAAATTATTAATTAATACAAATTTTTGGATGGATTCCTATGATCTGTTTTATGTGATCATTTAACCGATATATGCATATGTTATTACCATTTCTTATTTCTATTCCTCCATTCTAGATTTTTGTATTATATTCTATTTCATGTTACTTATTTCTTGATAATCAACAATTTTTCACCCATCTTTACATTTAATATCTAGTGCATCTAAAAGTTACAATTACTATTATTATTGTATGATGGTAATCCTAAGTGCAAGACCGTGTTGATTCTATCAACTTTTTAAAAATCTTGTAAATTTCATTTTTGTCTCAGGTTAATAATTATTTGAATTAACTTTATCATACATTATCCATTCCACAGGTTTTCGTTGCTAATCCTAACAAGCCACCGGCAGTTCATATGATCCTCTATCAAAATCAGGAGAAATTAATCTCTTTTTTATCCAACTTCCAAACTGAGAGGACTGATGATGGACAATTTAATGATGAAAAACAATATCTTATTAAACAAATCCGGGATCTCAAACCTTTGGTTTCTCCAGGCGCTGCTATTGGCGGCAATACAAATGCATCCAGACAGCAAACAGCTAGTAACTCTAGTACATCATCTACTACTACCAGCTAGGGCTTTGCAGTTGCAAGAACCTTCCATTTTTGCGCCTTTTTTTCCTTCAAAGCCCTATATCTATTCCTTTCGGTATCAATGATACTTCGGAATCCACTGCTTCCTTTCACCAGTAAAATTTCTTTATCGAGTTACTTTGATAATGGAGTATTCTGGTTGTCCTTATCAAGAAAGGCAACAATGCTGATGACCGCAAATAAAGGTATTGTTTCGGTAGCCTTATTCTTTCTGCCTTTCTTGAAAGTTAACCTTGGTATTCAGCACCAGCTTATGCTGTGTTATTCAGTTCTCAACTCCGTCACATCCCATATTATCGGCCTTACCTCTAAACCTTTTAACTAAGGGTTATTCGATCAGGATTTCATTTTCGACGCCATCAAATCGCAGAATAAGTGTAAAGCTTTGTAAAATCTTTCCATTGCTTTGACCGATACTTGTCCCAAATAAACATTTGTAACTGTCAGTAGTGAGTGAGGCATTGTTTATGACCCTTCTCAAGGGCTTATTAGCTCTTGATATTCTATTTCTATCTCCCACTACCTTGTTTCACAAAACCCCATTGTTTGCTGACTTTTGTGTACTATTCTGCTGTGTGCTTTCTTTTAACCAATTTGCCTTCTGAACTTTCGTCTTTTATTTAGATATTCATTGAAACGTGTAATTACTGATGATTTGTAATCTATATATTTGTTAATTATCCATTTTGCCATACACCAGGTAGAATACCAAGCACTTCAATTGGCTATATCGATTTGCATGGATTTATTCCATAATTATTTTTCCCTTCTATTTATTCAATACATCCTATCATCTAAGCTAGGTATTAAACTTCGCATAAACTTCCTCCTTTATTCCTTAATTCGGGCGTTTTATTCTTTTAAACTGTCCAATACTTTTTCTTAAATTTTCCATCACAACCACGATTTTATCCCCGTATACATATATATATATATATATATATATATAT